AATGATTCCTACTCTGAATGGTCTCTTGTCATCAGTGGTGTACCCCAAGGTTCAGTGTTGGGACTCTTACTTTTTAATACATTTATAAACGATATAGGGTCTGAGATTCACAATCCCATTTCAGCCTTTGCAGATGACACCAAGCTGTGCAGTGGAATAACGTTCCTTACAGGATGTCTTCAACTTACAAGCCAATCTCAGAGCTCTGTGTAATTGGGCAACTATGTGGCAAATGAGGTTTAATGTTGACAAATGTAAGGGTATGCACTTGGGGGCTAAGAATATGCATGCATCATACATACAAGGGGGGAGTACAACTGGGGGAATCAATGGTGGAGAAGGATCTGGAGGTTCTGGTAGATCACAAGCTTAATAATAACATGCAATGCCAAGCTGCGGTTTGTAAAGCGAGAAAAATCCTATCTTGTATTAAAAGAGGTATAGACTCCAGAGAGAGAGATATCATATTACCCCTGTATAAATCATTAGTAAGACCTCATCTGGAATATGCAGTTCAGTTTTGGGCACCAATTCACAAAAAGAACATTGGGGAACTTGAGAAAGTGCAGAGAAGGGCAAATAAACTGATTCGAGGCATGGAGGAGCTCAGCTATTAGGAAAGATTAGAGGAACTGAATTTATTCTCTCTTGAGAAGAGGAGATTAAGGGGGGATATGATCAACATGTATAAATACATCAGTGGTTCATATAATGAACTCGGTGTAGAGCTATTCACCCTGAGGTCAACACAGAGGACAAGGGGGCACTCTTTACATCTGGAGGAAAATAAATTTAATCTCCAAATACGGAAAGGTTTCTTCACAGTGAGAGCTGTGAAAATGTTGAATAGACTCCCTCAAGAGTTGGTTCTGGCCAGCTCAGTGGATTGCTTCAAAAAAGGCCTGGATTCTTTCTTAGATACACAGAATATAACTGGATAATAACATTTATAGGTAAAGTTGATCCAGGGAATATCCGATTGCCTCTCGGGGGATCAGGAAGGAATTTTTTTCCCAGCAGGAGCAAATGGGATCGTGCTTCGCTGGGTTTTTTTTTTTTGCCTTACTCTGGATAAAACTGTGGGTGTAGGATTATAACTTTTTTTTTCTGTGGTTGAACTGGATGGACTTTTGTCTTTTTTCAGCCAGACTATGTAACTATGTTATAGAGTTTTGTGGCAAAGTTAGATATTGCCTAACATTATTACAGCTGCTTTTTCTATCGTTTTTTATTTTTGTTTGCAAGATCACTAGCTCAGTTTACTATTTGTATGCTTGTAGTCAAGTGGTTAAGACCAGACCAGAACCAGAAGTCTGTCTAGTATCATTGCTGGATGGTCTTCAGCTTTCTCTCTGTGATTTTATTTCCTAAAACCCTGCTTGATCCTCTTACTGATCTGGCTCCATTTAACTCTTCTTTGGATTCCCCTTGCCTGCTTATGTCTGCTACTGATTCATGTTGCTGACATCAGCCTGGACTTCTGACTAAGATTCTGCATGCTGATTTTGTTCCTCTCTGCCAGCTCATTGGAGATCCCCGCCTGTCTCTGACCTGGACTCTGATTGTGATTCTGTATATATCTTCCTTCCTGTTACCAAACTCAGCTTGTGACCTAACTCCTTGCTTCTGCTTATTCAACCTCAGCATCTCCAAGTTCAAGTTTGCTGCACCAGCTTCCTGGCACCTGTTCCCTTCCGCTGCCCTAACAGTCCCTGTATCCACCACCAGGGCTGTTGGATGGGAATCACGCAAGGGGCCACCCTCATGATCCTGAGCCTTTCTAACAGGTTTGTGACACTGAGGTTGAGTGTTTTGTGGGCCTTCAGCAGAATCAGTGTTTGCCTGCGGTTTTGCCAAAGCGCTTTTTCCCCTATTCTCCGCAATAGCCACAAAAAAGGATATTGCCCTCTTATAAGGGCTGTAGGTGGAAGTGACAGTAAAATGTGCAACATGTGGTGTGGTGTAACACTTGGTCATCCACCGAATTAATGAACTGAAGTCAATTTAAATAAAGCTCGGTCTTCTTCAGTAATGATCAAAGATAAAGTGTGACCTTGTCTTATCTGTCCATGACACTGGGCTGTATATGAAGTCCAGGCTTCCGCCCGTCATGGTGGGCATACCCAAGGACTGGCTTTTATAAGGACAGACCAAAGCCCTGGATCTGTATATCACCCTGCAGCTAACTACATGTGTTGCACTAAGTTATGAAGTAAGCACTCACGCAGGACTCCGTAACCTAAACAACTTTACAGGTATGTGAAAAAAAAACAAAGCTCTATCTGGATGTAGAAGATTGAAATTATTTATATGTAATACTCATATTTACTTAACTGTATAGTTTTCTCATTGTAGTTTAGTCCTCAACACAAATAAATAAGGGAATTGTATTACAAAGCAATATACATCCCTTTCTAACAAGATAACCTCACCTCTTGGAGTGGATGCAGAGCCACAGGGAATATTTTACACACCGTTGAATAATGGCAGTTAGCCAAAACAGTTTCCATATTTTTTATTATTATAATTATTATTATACAGTGTTTATATAGTGCCAACAGTTTGCTCAATTAGCTGGGGGCGGGGTAGGCTTCCCTGAAGAGGTGGGTTTTCAGGGTAGGATGGAGGAGAGGAGGGAGATCGTAGGAGTTGTGAGGGGACAGGGTTGAGGGGGCAGGTGGTGAGGCGGGCTTCAGAGAAGACCTTAGTGACCTCTTCAGTGGTATCAAGGTCGAAGGAGTATAGTGTTGAGTGGGGTTTTAGTGTGAGAAATGTTAGGTGGGGTGGAGGTCTGGACAGTGGTGAGGTCAAGGGAGAGGGATGATGAGGGGGTTTTCGTGTGAGGGGTGCTAAGTGGGGTGGAAGTCTGAGCAGCGGCGATGTCCCTACGAATTGCGTCAATCTTGTTTTTGAAGTGGTTGGCAATCTCATGGGCGGTGAGTGAGGTACTGGGTGGAGGCAGAGAGAGTAGAGAGTTAAAAGTAGAGAAGAGCTGGCAAGGACTGCAGGAGAGGGTATTGATGAGGGTCACAAAGTAGGCTTCCTTGGCAGCGTAGAGGGAGGAAGTGTAGGTGAGGAAGGCAGATGTATATCGGGTGAACGCTAGTTGGGATCTGGTTTTGCGCCATAGTCGCTCCAGCGCACGACTGCGTCGTTTGAGATTTTTAGTATGATCCGTCTGCCAGGGCTGGAGTGGTCAGGGTCTAATGCTTTGTGTGGTTAGAGGCGCTAACGAGTCTAGAGCAGTTGACAGCAAGTTGTTATAAGCAGTAGTGGCCAGGTCAGGGCAGCACAGGGGAAGGATACTGTCGTAAAGTTGATCAGCTGCAGAGTGGAAGGGGGCAGAGGTTTCGGCTGGTGATAGTTTGACATTTGGAGGGGTAGGTGTTTGAGGACGAGGAGATGGAGAAGGTAATAAGGTTGTGGTCAGAGAGAGGAAAGGGGGTGTTTGTGAGGTTGTGGGGAGTGCAGAGATGAGAGAAAACAAGGTCTAGGATGTTCCCGTCGGAGTGGGTGGTGGGCTGTATACACTGTGCGAGTGCAAAAGAAGAGATTAAGAGGAGGAGTTGGGATATAGCCGGGTTATTGATGTTGATCAGGATGTTGAAATCTCCAAGGATAATGCTGGGTAGGTCTGAGGAGAGAAAGAAGGGAAGCCAGGCAGAGAAGTCCTCGAGGAAGCAGGACATGGGTCCAGGAGACCGATAGATTACAGCAATCCTCAGAGGGGTTGGAGAGAATAGTCGGATACAGTGGGCCTCAAAGGAGGACAAGGATAGAGAGGGGGGGTTAGGGAGGACTTGGAAGGTGCTCAGCGGTGACAGGAGCATACCAACCCCACCACCTTTTCGACCGCTGGGTCTGTGTGAGTGGGTCCAGATGAGACCTCCATAGGAGAGTGCCGCAGGGGAGGTAGAGTCAGTGGCTTGGATCCAGGTTTCAGTGATCGCTAGGAGGTTGAGGGAGCGGGAAACAAAGAGGTTGTGGATGGCGGTGAGTTTGTTGCAAACCGATCGGGCGTTCAGGAGTGCACACAATAATGGGGGGAGGTGGTTTTGGGGAGCAGAGGGACAGGTATTAGATTGAGGGGGTTGCGGCAGTTCGTGGAAGTGGGAGGGTGCCTTATGGGTGTGAGCGAGGTGGTGGAGGACCAGGGTTCTGGGAGATGTCCCCCGCGGTTAGGAGAAGAAGGGTGAGAAAGGTGGCATGGGAACGGGATGTACAAGAGCGTGTAAATCTACTAGTGAAGGTGTTCGGGTCAGTGGAAGAGTGGAGTATCAGGAGGAGGTGGTGAGAGCCGTACAGGGGAGAAGCAAGCAGTGAGGGCACAATGTACAGTTGTTTGGGAGGAGCAGAGGGATATAGAGAAGAGATTTTGGGAAACGGAGGAGAGGAGTATGAGGAGGAGCAAAGGAGGCATTTTAGGAAGGTAAACGGAGTGGTGGACAGGTATAGTGGGAAGTTTCTCAGGGTGCTTGGTTGCAGATAGTCTAGCGTGCAGTGGCATATCTTGTCGCTGTGTCTTTCTGTAGCTAGAGTTCTCGTGCCTAGGATCAGGTTGTGTAGAGTTCAGATCGATAGGTTGTGGCCAAGGGTAGTCAAGCTGCAAGTTCCAGTTTGTGTAAGTCCCAGTTTGAGGGGTGAGGTTTGGTTTGAGGAGATGAAGGGTGGACGTCAACAGCGGAAGTGTTTCCCAGGTGGTGGAGATGAGGTGTAGAAAAGGTTGTGAGGGGTGGGCATCAGCTGTGGGAGATGGGCGTAGTAGGGGCTGGGGGATCGCAGAATCAGCAGTCGGGCTGTTAGGGATCCGGGTATGACCAGAAATGTGTGGACTGACACAGGGAAACGCAGACTTCAGGTATAGTGTGAATAAGACAATTTATTAAGACTAAACAAAACATAGATGTAGTGCAAGACTAAACAACAACACAGTGCAAACAAACCAACCCAAACCTCCAACAAATAACAATAGAAACAATACTAAGCGTAGTCGGGCAGGCCGGGTCGGTAGCAAACGGGCAGGCAGGACACAAGGAGCAGGCGGAAGAGTAGTCAGGAATAGCCGAGGTCAGGACAGGCGGAGTTCATGCAGAGTCAGGGATTGAAGCAGAATCTGGATCAGGCAGAAAGCAGACAGGATGCAGGTACAGGGGCCCATGGGAAACATACACCAAGGCCCTGATCACAGGCCTGGCCATTCCTTAAATACACTTGTTGTAATCAGCTTCAGGTGATGGCTCATTGCAGGAGTGAGCCTCTGGTTGCTGAGAGCACCCGCTGGCCAGCCCTGGTACTGCAGCCCACAAGGCAGGTGAGTCCCACCACCACTGGCAAGTCCATTCCTGACACGGGCCTTCTCTCGCATGGTACTCACGGGGGTCATCAGATGGGCTTCAGGTCCGGGCAGGGTTGCATTGTGGTAGGCGATGGTAGGCCTCACCAGGTCGAGGTCATCCGTTGGGCTCAGCAGGTCCGGGCAGGGTTGCGTCGTGGGAGGTGATGGTAGGCCTCACCAGGCCGAGATCATCTGCTGGGCTCAGTAGTGTGGAAAAACGCTCGCTTCGATTTATTGTTAAGAAGTCACCAGAACGCTGCCAAACGTCACATCAACCTGCTAATCATAAAACTAGCAAAGTCACATATCAAGAAAGGCTCCATTGACTGAATTGCCTAAGGAAGAAAATTAATAATTTTCTTTACTGGTAAGTTGGAAATAAATAACTTAGTCTTTAGGTCCTCATACTACAGATGCATCTAAAAACCACCCCCAACCTAATGTAAGGTACTGTAATACCTAGCTTGTGGGTGGGATGTCACTGTCCTCAAATACAATATAAGGTTATTGGTCCTGCATTGTAATTGGTTATGTCTTTGTACAAGCGTTGGCCAGAGTGCCTTACAGCGGAAGCTATGGGGGAACAGTTGCATAGCGCGAAGGGAGCCTTCCAAGTATGAAATAAGGTAACTATTACAGCCTATTTATCTACCCCTAGACATAACAAGCGTTTAACCTCTGTGGAAAGGGGGGGGACGCTGCAAGGTTGTTTGACCCTTGTAATTCCTGAATACAAATTTGCTCCTTGTTCTGGCTTTTACATTTTGCTCTAGAAAATCATGGCAGTGACCTTTGTCTTCACTTTTGTACCACGCTTCTGTTTTAATCTCTGGTACCCTCTATGTCTAGATGAATGCTCAATATAACTTTAGCCCAACAATGAATTTGCCCAATATTTAGCATTTTGTCTTGGCCCATCTATCTGCAAGATGCCACCAGTGACAATGTTGCAAGGATTATTTTTGAGATAACCTGCCTCATAATTCAAGCCCTATCTCCAACTCCAGTGCTTCTGGTGAAGACTAGGTACTTCCAGAGTCTGCACCTAGGCAAGAGACAGTTCCCATTCTGAATGTGCCGATAATGGTCCTTCATCATCCTAGCTATTCTGAATGTATCTTATAGCCCAACTCCAGGGTATAAGCAACCCCTCCTTCTACCACTCTCTAACTGCGCAGCACAGTGGCTAAATTGTTAGAACTTCAGCCTGTCAGTACTAGGGTCATAGGTTCAAATCCCAACCATGGCACCACCTGTCTGGAGTTTGCATGTTCTCCCTGTGCCTGCGTGGGTTTCCTCCGGGTACTCCGGTTTCCTCCTCCCACACTCCAAAGACATGCTGGTAGGTTAATTGGATCCTGTCTAAATTGGCCCTAGTATGAATGTAAGTTAGGGACCTTAGATTGTATGCCCCTGATGGTTAGGGACTGATGTGAATGTACAATATATATATGTAAAGTGCTACATAAATTGACGGCGCTATATAAGTACCTGAAATAAATAAAATATAAACTGCTGGCATGAAAAAAAACCCCCCAGACCTATCCAAATGTCCATTTTACTTCCCTGAAGCCACAGTCACATGGCGATCCTTCAGACGATCCTTCTGTTTAATTCCTGGGATCCTTCTATAAGGTGTCCACATTACTACCTGTGCGATCTGGATACCTTTTACTGGTTGAGGTAACACTTCCAGGAGCCTGGTCCCCCTTCATAGGCTCCAGAGGCAGGAGAGCTCCTGGGGGTGATGAGGAGACAAGTGTCCAAGAAAATAAGGAGCAGGAAAATGTCCCCAGAACAAGGAATTATCTTGGCTCATGGAAGAAACTGTGACTTTGGTCCTTTACACTGCAGGATTGGTGTTTGAAATCAAGACTGAGGAGGTAACTGATGCACAATGCACTATTTACATTTAATTTTTACCTAGAGTTGGGCTTCAAAAGAAAGCTAAGGCCAAAAAATGGCAAAATAATTAAAACCTTATCTGTATTTTTCCAGTTGGTGTTCCCTTGGGGAGATTTTTCTTTACTTTCTGTCTTGAGTACATAACAGAAAGTAAGACAATATCTCTCCATAGTGAGTGGAATTCCCTCTTAGATCACTGGAACAATGTCCTCATGCACTGGACCTTGGGTTCTCTCTGCAAACAATTGTCAGAGAGAATTGGAGCCTGCCCGTCACAAATGCAGGTCAAAAGCTCACTCTGCTGATATTGACAGCACACTTATTTTATATTATTTCATCCTCAAGCTCTCTTAGAGAATGGGATATATTTGATCCTGTCTGTCAAATGTAAGGTTAATCATTGGCTCTTTGGCTCAAACCGACCACTAACTGAGATCTACGTACTGTAATACTATTATAGAAACCTTCCTGTTTATTTCATGAAACCCTGCATGCTGTTTTTACTGCACACAATCAAAAAAGTCAGCAACAATCCACAGAAAGGACAAACTCAATTTTTACATTGATAGTTTAAAGCCCAACTCTGGAATATTTTTTTACAGGTACACCTAGAGGTGCAAAAAAAAAAAAACTTTTCAAAATTAAAGCTATATCTTGCAATTCCTACCTTCATATCTACAGATGTGAAATGTCTGCAGATTTATTTAATCTACACTGTTAAAAAAGCAGTACTGGGGTTAAAAGACCCCAGAAGACCCAAAGCTTTTAACTCCCTCAGCGCTGGACGTGTAGAGAAAGGAAGAGGATAGTGCAACCCTGCAGTGAAGATTTCTATAGGATCCAACTGCCTGCACAACGTGGGACATACATAATTACAGATAAGTTAGCTCACTTAAATTAGCTATACATAAATCTACTCCCACCCTCATGCTAAGTCTATTCTATCTATCCTATTTTAAAGCACTGAGATTTGCAAAGGAAGAAAAGTTTTAAATTAAATTACTGGCAAATTATATCTCTCTCCTAACTTCTTTTTTTTTAAGAAAAAATGGCACACAATCCCCAAATGTTCCTCAAAATACATAGCAGACCCCAAGGGTCTGTTAAGTACTGTAGGGGACCTTTGGAGGGGTCTTTTTTCATCAATGACATTTTATTTGTCAACAATTTAAATTTAAATTTTAATTGTGTCATTTTTTTCATTCTTCTGCTGAAGTAATTACAAGTAATTATAGACCTGTTAGTTTAACATCTATAGTTGGGAAGATACTGGAGAGTATAATAAAAGACCACATAGATGAGTTCTTGCTGGAAAAAAATATTTTAAGCAATAGACAGCATGGATTCCTGAAAGACAGAAGTTGTCAAACAAATCTGATTTCTTTTTATGAGGAGGTGAGCAAAACCTTGGACAGAGGGGTGGCTGTGGATGTGGTATACTTGGATTTTGCAAAAGTGTTTGGCACAGTTCCCCACACACAGCTAATGTGTAAGGTAAAGTCTACGGGCTTGGAAAATCAGTATGTAAATGGATAGAAAACTGGCTAAATGATCGTATCCAGAGAGCAGTGGTTAATGATTCATACTCTGAATGGTCTAAGGTTTTCAGTGGTGTACCCCAAGTTTCAGTGTTGGGACCCTTACTTTTTAATATATTTTAATAAATGATATAGAGTCTGGGATTAAAAATCCCATTTCAGTCTTTGCAGATGACACCAAGTTGTGCAGTGGAATAAAGTCCTTATAGGATGTCTCCAACTTACATGCAGACCTCAATGCACTGTTTAATTGGGCAACTATGTGGCAAATGAGGTTTAATGTTGATAAATGTAAGGTTATGTACTTGGGGACTAAGAATATGTATGCATCATACATACTAGGGGGAGTAGAACTGGGGGAATCAATGGTTAAGAAGGATCTGGGAGTTCTGGTAGATCATAAGCTTAATAATGGCATGCAATGCCAAGCTGCGGTTTATAAAGTGAGCAAAATCCTCTCTTATTTTAAAAGAGGTATAGACGAGAGAGAGAGAGAGAGAGAGAGAGAGAGAGAGAGAGAGAGAGAGAGAAGGATCATTTTACCCTGTACAAATCATTAGCAACACCTCATCTGGAATATGCAGATCAATTTTGGGAACCAATTCACAATAAGACTATCGGGGAACTGGAGAAAGTGCAGAGAAGGGCAACCAAACTGATAAGAGGCATGGAGGGGCACAGCTATGAGAAAAGATTAGAGGAACTGAATTTATTCTCTCTTGAGAAGAGGAGATTACGGGGGGATATGATCAACATGTATAAATACATCAGTGGTTCATATAGTGAACTCTGTGTAGAGTTATTCACCCTGAGGTAATCACAGAGGACAAGGGGGCACTCTTTACGTCTGGAGGAAAAGAGATTTAATCTCCAAATACAGAAAGGTTTCTTCACAGTGAAAGCTGTGAAAATGTGGAATAGACTCCCTCAAGAGTTGGTTCTGGCCAGCTCAGTGGATTGCTTTAAAAAAGGCCTGGATTCTTTCACATAATATAACTGGATACTAACATTTATAGGTGCAGTTGATCCAGGGAATATCCGATTGCCTCTCAGGGGATCAGGAAGAATTTCTTTCCCCTGCAGGAGCAAATTGGATTGTGCTTTGCTGAGTTTTTTTGCCTTGTAGGTATAGGATTATTAATTTTTTTTTTTGGTTGAACTGGAAGGTGTTTGGTCTTTTTTCAGCACATCCTACAGCAAGGAAAAAGAAAAATGTAGGTAAAGTTCATCCCAAAATGCTTACCAGGGTCAGGTAGTGATTTTAAGGGGAGTTCCAAGCAAGAAAAAGTTTTAAAAGTCTCCCTACGAATCTATACCAGACCCATAATCTTAGCAACGGCCTGGCTGACCAGGAAAGGGGGTTTGGTGGGTGAGCTTGCGGCCACCCCTCCTGAACAAAACTAGGCCACATGCCCTCAACATGGGGATCTTTGCCAGGGGAAAGCACAAACCAATCCCACTAATACTGCAAGGATAGTAGAAGAAAAAAGTCCAAGCAGGGGCAGTATTCAGGAAATTTTACCCCTCTTGAATCTTAATTAGACAACGATAAAACATAACAAATAGGAGACAGCACCAATCTAGTGCAATAAATCTTCAGATTTAATACATAAAGTATTGTG